GTTGTTTGAATATCAGAATTTAAACACGTTTAGGTACAAATACCCTTTCATAGATTGCAAATTTGTTATGACATAAATATCTTCTGGTATCATTTTCCAATTTAATACCTTTCTCCAATCCCGGGATATCTAAGTCACCTTTGCTGACATTCATCATTGTCATATACATGTCGATGCTAGATATAAAACACATATCCGTGTCATTGAATGCTTACAAAACTATGCCTCTCTGCAAAGTAATTTATTTTAAAGGTCATATGCTGCTCAAATTTATACATTTTGACCTTACAAATTAACATATTAATATTATCAAAGTATATGCAGGAAGCTGAAGAATACGACTGCAAATACGTTTCAATTGGTAATAATTACTGCCGCGACAATTCGTCGTTACTTATACCACGAAAATTGCTACGAAAATTACTCTTACCCATAAAAGTCAATAAATTTTAAAGTACTAAAAAATTGTGGCCTAATCACTGGAATAAAAATGCAAAAAAAATATTAATAACGACAGTAATAATATTAATTATAATTGCAAAAATAATTTATTCAAAATATCGTCATTATATCTCATAATTACTTAAAATACCGTTATTATTATTAAAATGCATAATAAATGGTCATATTTTTTAGCAATGTACCGCAGACATTTTAAAAAACTATTGATAATACTTGTAATACAATGATTATTAGGACTAATTTTAAAAGTCCTAATAATCATTGTATTATAAGTATTATCAATAGTTACTACGATAGATTATCATTCTCGTAAGTAAGGTAAGAAAAGGAAAGAGGGTGCAGTAATTCAGAATGCACCAATGATATTGAAGGAAACAATAATAATAATTTAGTAAACAATGTAGAAAATATTTTCAATGGTTATACTCGACAACACGCGTCGCGCACTCTCGCAGCATCTCTACGCAATACTTTATGTGCAGATCAGAAGAGCAGTTGCACATTTGACGTAGCAAACTTGTTTTTACCTTTAAATTGCAGTAATACTTGCTGTTAATGCTGTCAAAATTTATACTTTTAATGAACATTTTCTTTCTTCTTTACTCATTTTACAATTATTTATTGCACTATTTTTCTTACCTTCGCACATTTATTTACTGCACTATCATTTTACGTGTGCACTGTGCACAACTGCATATTCATTCATTAACCGCACTTTTCTGCACCTTTTTGCATTGTTGCACATTTATTTATCGCACGTATCTCGCATTCCTTGCATACTCTCACAAGTGCTACCTCTAACTTTGTTTTCCATTCAGAAAATATTTATTACTTCTAATCATTCAGAATGATTATATTCTGTGCAAAATGCCATTTTACTACATCTGAAAAAAAAAAATCCCTATGAAAATGGCAAGGGATCTTGTTATTCATTGGTCCTTCACTATTTGTGTACAATAATTACTTCTACTTTTACTGTACAGGAATTACTTCTATTTTTACTACTACTGTGTAAGATTATCGTCCTTGATACAGTTTAAACTTATTTTGAATAAATTTTTGAGGTTAATTTTGCATACTGTACAAATCGATATAGTTTGAATCTGAAAATTTTAAATGTTTCATAAAATAAAAGCTTTTTTTAGAGTAAAATTCTTACATACTTTCGTGATGACACGCTCTAAATTGTTTGACAAATTTTTCTTCGTCTTTGTGTACATGATTAAATGTTTAGTGTTGTGTAAAAACGAGGCCATTTAAGTCTGTTCGTTATTTATAAAGTTAAACTATTACTCTTTATAAATTACACATTATAAAAGTAAAAGATCAAAATTTGTGAGAATATAAATTAAAATAATCAAAAAAAACTTGAATTAAAATAATTGTTTAATTTTTAATAGAGAGAAAATATTAAATTCAAAAATGCTGTGTAATGAATTTCTCTACAATTTATTCATTTCGAATTTTCTTGCTTAAATTATTGCAAATTATTGCGCGTCTTTATTTTGAGCATTTTAATAAAACATATACTTTCGTGTGTGTTAAGTTTTTGAAATTATTAAGCAATTCTTAAAATTATCCAAAAAGTATAGTTTGATTTGCGTCAAAGACTTAGAAGATTTTTTTAAGGCTGAAGTTAAGACTTTAATAGCTAATAACCAAATGTAGGGTTTCAATTTTGTTTGTAAACCTGGTTTTTTCACAAAAAAGGAATCTGCAAAATGAAGATTCTGAAAGAGATAGCAAGATTCTGCGAATTGATGGTTGCTTTTGGGAAGTAATAGATATAATGAATTTCATACTTAGCATTAAAAAAAAAGTCTTATTTAGCTCGCAAAATCCAACAAATGAATTAAAAAAATTATATTATAACTTCCAAAAAAGAAATAAGTCGACAAATCTCTTTCAGTTCAAATACAATTTTGGTATTTCTTCTGAAAAAGTTTCATATTAATCAAAATACAACAGACAGTTTTATTCATCAGAATATATCGCAAATGAAATTGTGTCCAAAATAGGAAAAGCGATTAATAACTGCTTCACACGTACCAAAATTTACACGTACCAGATCACGTACCATGTTCTGTTACGTTTAATTATGGGCTTGAAAAGTGCATGACTGTGTTTGAGTTCAATTTGTTGCGCATTTGAATCAAAAGTCTTTATTAATATTACTGTGATAAAAACATTAATAATATTATTATTCTTAGTGTCATAATTGTAACGTTTATTTGCTAATATTAATTTGAACCAAAGAATAAAACTTAATCTTAAAAATGTTACAAAGTACAAAAAAAGCAAAGCATTAAGCATAATTACCAGTCTTAGTTTGTAAGTAAACTTTTGTAAATGTAGTATAATGTGTAATTTTCACTTTCATTCTTTACTTCTGCTTTGTTTTACGAGTGATATTATACTCAAAATATAAACCTATCACGTGAAATCACAGTTAAAATTACGCAAGTGTCGTGTTTTCTTGTTTACTTTTTACATCAGACTTGCAGTTTGTTAGCAGTGACTTTCGTCTTACAGATTAGCTTCAATCTCACTAGATACACTTCTACTACTGAACACAGTTTTTGAGCATACACTTGCTTTATCTGCAGATTTCTCAGCATCACATTCACATTCATAGAATCCATCTGTCTATCTAATTATCCATCTGTTCAATCTTTTACTTACTGACTTACTTACTTTCTTACTTACTCCAAGAATTAGTTTAGTAAGTATTATTAATTGTTAAATTACACTTATTCCGCCTGCTATTCTAATCTATTTTACTTACGCTTTTCACAGCTCTTTTATCTTTATCTTTACAATTTTTATCCTACATTCGTTCACTTATCTCTTATTTTCTTGGCTAAAGCAATTACTTTCAGAAGTTTAACTTTCAATCACTTACTTACTTTTTTATTTTATGATACTGTCTTCAATATAGAATTAGTTTTTTCCTTCATGCTGACTGCATGCATACAATGTGCAGATGTCTGATTTATGAATGCAAGGTCATACGTTAAATCTGCACAAGTATCTATTCTCTTCTGAAAAATATTATTGAAAAATGCCATGCATTCACAATTACATTTGTAATGGCAAAGGAATGGTATATTTTTGATCTGTTCTTATTTCTGACCTTGCTTAGGTCAAAATTTACATTTCATTGAAACTTCTAATTACTTATGTCAAAGGTCATTTAATTACATTTTAAGAAAGGAAAAAGTTAAATTTTGCTTGCTATTGTATATATTTTTTCAATAAGTAAGAAGAATAGCTTGCCACTATTCTTAATGTTTCTGAATCATCATCGCTCGAGCAATAATGTCTATTGCTCTTGCAAACAACTATGTTGAACAAATTTCAAATCAGCGAATAACCCCTAATATTTAATTGCTCACTTTTATTCGTGAAAATAAAAAATAACTATCGCTGAACTAGCTTTGCGATTCGCATGTTTAAATAATTATCAATTTGCGATTCGCAATTTGTAACTAACATTATTCGTTACTTTGTTTAATTGTACGATTTTTCCATCAATTTATTTGTATTTTCCAATGAGAGAGCTATTGATTTTGTCATATATGTGTATGTTTAATGCGATATTGACTTTGTTTACCAAAACAAATATGCAATTATTTATTTGCACTTATGCTCTCGTGCTTATTTATAGTATATTTATTAACATCATTATTTATTGCATTATTAAGTATTCAAATTTTAAAGATTTGTTATAATTTTGCGTAATTTAAGTTAGTATTAATTGAAATAACGTGAAATTTAGCGTAATACTTGAAGTGTTTACTTGAAGAGTACCGAAGTTTTGCTGTTAATACTTTCAACTGTGGTCAGTAGATTAAGCAGCAAATATGGTTGATATGCAACAAATTATTGAACTTATCTTGTCGATTGTTCTACCAGTAAGTTAACTTTTACTATTTTTAGATAATAATATTATTTAAAATAATAAAAGTATGCTTTTATTGTCTTCAATAATATTTTTTGATTTAAGCTTGACCTATGCCCTTGATTACTTTATCATGCTTGAAAAAAGGATAGTATCGGTGATAGCGTTCATTTTTGCTCAAGAAATTAAATAAAATAAAGTCTCCAAATTTGTATAGGTTTATAAAATGTAGCATATTCTTAATTATATAAATAAAATATAGAAAATTTATTTAGAAAAAAATAAAAATAACTTTTTAAAAATTGATTTGATTGCGTTGTAGTACACATCAGATGTGATTTACACATTATTTAGACTACAAATATAAATTGCAAACATCTTTAAGCAAATAGCATCATATTATTTATGCTTGCTTAATGGATAAACTGTAATTCTGTTTTTGTAATATATCAACAGCAAAAATTTTTTAAATTTAGTAAGAAATTAATTAAAATGTTTGATTTGACCTAAGAATAATTGAAGTAAAATAACCTTATTTTAAGGTCAAAGGTTAAACTAACTTCAAATATGCGTATAAAATATTATAAAAAAATCTGAGTGAAAGAATAAAAAAGCAAATGTAAAATGAAAATGATGGATGAAGACGAGAAAGCATTATTTATTTCAGCCTCTGGCAATTTTCATTCATAGCAGTGACTGCAATATTCACGTAGTTATTAATATCATTCTGTGTTTTTTCTTCTGGTTGCCAGCCGTCTTACACGCCGTGTGGTATTGTTTCTTCCGAGGATAGACGTAACTTTTCTACACGTCAATGTGATAAGCATTTTGTCCGTAATGCTTTGAAGCATTTTATTTTTTTAAATAAAGCAATCAATCAATATTGTATCATTCAATTAAATGCCTCATTATTAGTCTACATGTTGTATATTAAATAACTTGGAAAGTTTTGTCATAAATGTTAATAAATTGATTCAAATCAATTGATAAGCTAATTTGAATTCAATTTTCGTTCGAAAGAATCGATAAGTTGTGCCGAAGACATTTGCAAAATTTTGTTTTCTATATATACATATGTGTATAAAAATGCGTCGTAACGTGTTTATTCTGTCATAAATTATTATAACACACGTAATTACACTTACGTAATGTGTGATGATACTAATTAAATGTACTGATTTTGCCCATAAATTAGCCATTAATTGGTATTTTCTATGAGAGATTAAACCAATTTCCGGTGCAAGTTCGTATCATTCACGCAAAAAAACTAAATGATCCCATCGTATTATGCTTCATTTTTTTAGCACAAAAGTAAAAAGTCTTTGATCCTCAAACTGATCAATAATGCATATAAAATAATTAGAACTAAAATAAATTAATAATAAAGTAAATATGTGAGCTATAAGTAATTGCTTCAACACGTGCTATCAAAAGTATCCGTTAAGGTTTCATTTTTTTAAAAAAAAAAAACTTATATACTGGAAATGAATTATATTTTCAGAAATATATTTAGAACATTTTGTCCCAAAAGAGTAACTAATTCACGTTTCTGTTGGTAGCATTTTAAGTTTTGACGTGAAATACAAACGTGCATGAAATCTGATAATATGTGAAGGGAAAAAATTGTAAATAAATTTACATATAATTATAATCAGATTGCAATGCATATAAATATGCATTTTGTTGATTAAAAAACCGCAGAATATCTGAGAAATTGCAAAGGTTTACATTCGATTCCCAAATAGAATACAACATACGTGGCATGCGTCAAGTGAAATAACAATTAATGATAATATAATTATATCTTTGATCTGATCAATATCATAAATATTATTTTTGATCTGATGAGTTGTTTTGATAACAAATGATTGATTATATTCATGAAATACTTAATGGGTGATGTTTCTGACCTCTTTACTGCATAATCGATAGAAATTTAAATTATTATTTTATTGATAAAAGTTTTAATTAAATGATCATTTAACCTTTTTCTTGAACTTTTGTGCATCACATTCCAAGAACGAAAACATATGAACAATATTCATTTTTTATCAATTTGCAATATGATGAGATGTGTAGAAGATTTTTTATCCTTAAAATGTGGGCATCGATTATAGATAGTATATTATTATAATATATTTCACGTTTGGATAGTATCATAACTTTAAACTTTTACCTCTGACCCTACATCTCTTCAAAGTTTATCGCTCATGGCCTACGAAAAGTAACTGTTTTAGAAAAGAAAGTATAAGTTTTATAACAAAGTGTATGAAGATTGATCCTAAAGTGATCAGAATGTCAGATTGAGCTGAAATTTTGCTTATTATTTAATGAACTTGACCATTTCAAATCATTCATCTCCGTCAAACCAATCTTGAACTTGACCTCACGTAATAAGAGTTAATTTTACTTTATTCAATTAAATTTGGCTTCATTTGATAATAGTTTGCAACTTTAAAAGTAAAAAATTTTGTGAAAGCAAATTAATTTGAAAGAACAGATAGATCTGATTAAACTTTGTGCACTGCAATAATCAACTTTTCAAAAATTATTCATAATTTTATAATAAATCAAATACTTTTAATAATTAAAATTTATTTAGATTAAAGATAAAATAAAGTTTTGCACAAGAAAAAATATAAACTTTGATTCTAAATATATTATTTTTGAATAAACTTTATGAGAATCATAGAATACAATGATTATTCTTCGTAATTATTACATAACTGATGTGATAAAAGAATTGGGTCATATTATTTGTCTTTAATATTTAATAATTAAAGAAACCACTGTTAGATATTTATCTTTTAATTAATGACCCACATTTAATCATAAGATTTGATATTATTCAATATAGTCGTCCTTATTATCTAATTTTTAACTTTGTCTTATTTTAGATAATTTTAAAATATTCTAATAATTCTTTCTTAGCTTCTTTCATGAACCATAAAAGTTACAAATATTATTTGAGTGATCTCATATTAATATTTATAATCTTATTTAATAAATGGAGCACTTAAGTAATGGACTGAAGAAAATCAAAGCAAAATATTGATTTATAATAAAATTAATATTAATTATAAATGAAAATAAGTAATCTTTAATCATAAAGTTGGAAAACGTGGCGCCACCTAACTTAATTTTGCCTTACTGTTTTAATATAGTTTTTGAAATCACTATTATTGATATCAAAATTTAATTAGGTAACTGTTAATTTCTATATCTGATAGACCATTCAAAGATATTTTTGATTATAGTGGTATTTCACTTTAGATACAGAATGATCAGTAACAGTAAGAGCATTTTTATTAAAGCTTTCTCTATTAGCGCACTTACGGTAGGCTGCTTGCTTTTCACTATTGCGCATATTATGACGGAAATCCAGTCAGTAGAAAATGAACTTAACGTGGAAATGGATGCTTTCAAGGTAACAGTAACTGCTTGCAAGTTCATTCCCATTTTCCGCTATTTTTGATTCTGTTTTGATTTATGGTACTTTATTATTTAAAAAAAAAAGATTGTGAAAATTTCATGCTACTAAAAAGTTTAAAATTATTACTTTTAAGCTAATTATTTAGGAAGAATATTTTCATTATCTAGTTTAGAAGATTAATTTTTAGGTGAAGGCAAATGATCTTTGGAACAGTATATTGTCGATGAATATTGCGCATCGTCAACGGCGTCAATATTTCAGTGAAAAAACGATGACCACCACTGACAGTAATCAAAAAGCACACAAAGAATTTGCTGTAGGACCAGAAGGACCTTCTAGGCCAGGAGAACCTTCTAAGCCAGAAGAACCTTTTAGGCCAGAATCTTCCAAAGGTTAAAATAACTTTTATGCCATTATAATCACTTATTTTATTATTACTGCTAACAGTTCACGACTGTGTTTCGATTATTATCTCGAATCTTAGCACAATTTATTGCGTTAAAATGCAAGATAAATACCTTAGACGGATTCCGAGATGACAAATGCATAGAATAGAATCTGATATCTTATTATGCCATTATTTTGATTCACTTATCAGTCACTGATGAATAGTTATTTGAATTGAAGTTATGCAAATTATCTCATAATCTTTTTTCATTGAGAACAAATAAAATGTTTTTGTTATTGGAAGTTACTTTTTTTTGCATCATACAATGAAGTATGAAGTATTACTGTACTAGTTTACAATTTTGCATCGTTATGCATGGAATTTCATATTATGAAGTTAGGCATAAATAACATGTTTAGTTCAGATATTTTAAGTTTCTTTTCTTAATCCTTCTATCTTAAAAGAAATAATTTATTTATGAGTAACAGTTGAAATTACTTGCTTATTTATTAATGCAATCAGTTGATTAACCTAGAAGTGCACGAGGAGACTAAATGTGAACCAGGACCTCCCGGAGCCAAAGGCGAAAAGGGTCTCGATGGATCTGATGGAGAAGATGGCAAGGTATTGTTAATATTCTTTTGCAAAAATATCAACGTATAAAAGTTGAATAAAATATTCAAGCAAGGAATCATTGACTTAAAAGATATAGAGAGATTTAGGATGCTCCGAATGGTTTAGATGCAGACAATACTCAGATTCAGGTGCAACAGTATGAAAGCTGTTTTCATTGCCCACCAGGCCCACCTGGTCAGCCAGGTCCACCAGGACGTCCTGGTCCTCGTGGAATGCGTGGTGCCCGAGGACAAAGTGGCTTGCCTGGTCGAGATGGACAACCTGGCCCACCAGGACAGGTAATTCAATAGTTTTTCTCCCTTTTACACTCTGAAAAATTAAATAAATTTAATAATTTTTGTTCATTGTAAATTAAATTGTTTAAACCTGAAAAAATTAACAATTAAAACGTAAAAATGGCAAATTTTAGATGGGTGCTGATGGTCCACCTGGTATAACTGGTGATGAAGGACCACAAGGAGAACCTGGAATTGATGTAGATCATATTGTTGGTGTTCAAGGTCCGAAAGGAATTCCAGGCCTTGTTGGTCCACCTGGTGAACCAGGTGATGATGGTGAACCTGGTATTCAAGGAAGTAAAGGAGCACCAGGAATACGGGGACCTATTGGAGAGAAAGGCGATGATGGTGAACAGGTCAAATTCTTTATTACGCATAATATTTGCTAAAAAAAAATTATTAATTTATTTTACAAATTCAAAACTTTTTTAATTAAAGTTTATAAATCGATAATAAATTTATTGTAAACAAAATTAGTTAATTTTTATTACTTTGATGGAATTCACATAATAATAATAAACATTTTGAACATGCATACACTTAAGAAATTATATAGTTGGCTAAATTAGTCTGATCTTATTACTTACTTTAGGGTGAACCCGGCATTGCGGGCTATGATGGTTTGCCAGGAAATGATGCTGAATACTGTCCATGTCCTCGTCGAAGTACCGATACAGACAAATCAGATTCATCTGGTATTGCAAATGCAAAACAGCTCTCACCTCATTATCCACAATCATTTATTTTATAATTTAAAAATAGTCGAGCATAAAATATAGTTATTACTAATTAATTTTACTTAACTTTTACAAAAATTAAATTCAAATTAAACAGAAAAAGTTAATAAAATTATTTCATTCATTCATTTAGTTGTAAAATGAAAGAAATATTCTTATTTGGAAGTGAATTTTTTCTATAAAAACTTTTTAAATAATAAAAATATAAATTCAAAATTCAAAAATACAAATTGATTACTTAATTTTAGGACAAAATTCTATTTCTACAAATTATTTCAATTTATTTAGTATACAATATATTTGATTACATTTAAGTTTGACATAGTATATTTCAACTGAATATTTTTGAAGAGTCAAATACAAATGCAATGCCTTCTGAAATTGAATCCACGAGATATGATGCGCTTATATTTTTTGGACAAAAATTTACACAACGTAAATTCAGTATGCAAATTAGAAGAAATAAATAACTTCTACATCAATAAGAAACAATATTATAAATTTTATTCTAACTCTGAAATTTTTAAATTGTTTTTTGAATTATTAAATTATTACTTATTAATCTACTAAACTTATTAACAAACAAAAATAAACTATTGTAAGGTTTGATTTAAAAACTTATCAACTTTTATTTCACATCTGAATTGAATAAAATTATCTGATATCTTAAATTGGAAATGAAAATTGGTTATTATAAAATATTTATTTATGTTTTCAATTCTTGCAGTAAATAAACTGGATAAAATAAAAATGATATGGCCTGAATTTTGGTAGTGAATTTTTTTCATAGATGATTAATGAAGGTCACTTGGTATCAATACATTGAATAATTTGATCAAAAATATTTCTTCTTACTTTTTTTAAAATATTTCTGCAAATGAGAATATATGAAGTTAATTAACTTTTATCCAAAAATTATTTTGCGAAAGATTATAATCAATAATTCTTAGAAAATTAATCAATCAATAATTAAGTTTATGTATTGAAAAGCATTTATTCATATTAAAAACATGTAGATGACTTGATTAAAATTTGTGATCTATTAAAAGTTAATGTGAAATACTTATTGCAAAAAGTTTTGATTTTTAAATTTTATATTACAACAAATATTCATGATTGTAAATTAATAATAAACGATAAAAACCTTAAAAGTTTGGCAAAATTGTATAAATAATTGACTGAAAAGAGCAACATCGTGACTGATTGGATATGAAAAATCAAATTCTTGATCAATCTCAGATACCATTCCTTCTATTACTTGCAAATAGATTTCAAGCAGTTTTATTTTATATGTCATCTGAATAAATCTTCAAAAAATAATCAGTAATAAATATTTATTTAAAAAATTTTTATCACTGCACACGCAGATTCCAATATATTTGCAGCAAATTATCAGTAATGTAAGCAATTTGCCATCTGATAATCTGTGATTTCAACTGATACGAAATTAAATTTAATTCAATCTCACAATACAAATAAAAATTACTGTGATTTTTGTACTATCACACAATCCATCGTTATCAGCAATTTTAGAAAAAACGAAAATTTCCTTAATTTCAAAAGCAAAGCTAAAAATATTCTTCATTACATATGAATTTTCATTATAAATACTGAAAATTGAGAAGCATATAATTTATTATTATACATACTACAAGTCAAGGAGTATATATTCTAATAATTACTTTTTTTCTTGAAAGTAAGCACTTTGAATTTTCTTGCAACAAATTAATGAAAGTTATTATTATTATTATTATTATCAAAGTTATTATTAAAATTACTCGAAAAGTTTGAAAGAATAATAAATAGTACGGAAATTTTTAACAAAATACAAATATTTAAAAACTTTTGATAAGAGGGAGTAAAGTCAACTTGCTGCAGTGAGCTACACAATATTAATATTTTGAATAACTTATAAGTAAGATAACCTTATTATCAGTGCTTATTACATTGTCATAATCTTTAATAGAATTAACTATTATTATTATTATTATTATTAAAGTTATAATTTATAAGTAAGATAACCTTAATAGAATGAACCATTTTTGAGCGTTTAAACATGTCATTTATCCGTTCAATTCTTCTTTTGGTCAACTTTATATCGAGAATTTGTTTTTTAAGCCTTAGTCTATTGTAAATCATTAAGCGAACATTTGAACAATATCCACTAAATCCACTATCTGCTTCCTAACTCACAAATAATATCAAAGATAAATGTTTGATCACATGCATTAATTTTAATCTACCATTGAAAACTTTTTTACTTCTGAAAAATCAAATTTACTTTGAAATGAGTAAAGTTTACTCTGTAAATTTCAGAGAAATAAATAAGATTTGATTTTTTTAAGCAAAAATATTCCATTAATATTATTATATTTAATTATTTTCAATCAATAATAACAAATTTTTTATTATTTATCCCTAAAAATAATAAAGTTAAAAAGCATAAAAAATAATTAGAGCAAATTTTTATATTTACTTGAAGTAATTCCAAATAGTCGAGGTCATGATTGAGAGCAGTTATTGCTGAATTAATTTCATCCATTTCTCGTATGTCAGCTGATGGTGATTTTTCTGTTTTTTAAACTGATTTGATTAAAATCAAAGTTTTTTTTACTTTAATTTAAAGATAATTAAACAGTAAAGTTAAAAAGTATAAGAAATATTTGAAGAAAATTTTTGGTGTCACTGCTCAATTTCTTGTACTGAAATTCCTCACTTATTAATTTATGCTAAAAATTTTATACTAAATTTTGTATTGGTAATTATTTTAATACAACCTGGTAAATTCAAGCATCTTTGAGTTGGTGATAAAGTCTCATGAACAGATGATGTATCATTGTTATCAGTGGCATTTGCTTTTGATGAAGAATCGTTTGGTACACGTACGCGAGATTCAATATCAAATTCCATAAAATCAAGCATTCTCATCAATTTATCGTTAATATTTTCAGTTTTCGTTTTAATCTATAATTTATTCCAGAATTGAATTTAATTTAGCGCAAATTATTTTTAAAAGTAACGTTATTTTTAGTTTTAAAAAAATTTTGAAAAATATGAACAGTAAAAATTTGTGAAAAAATATATAAAATAAAAATTATTAAAATTGTATCAAATTTAATAATGCAATAAATTTTATCTAATAATGTGAAAATTTGAGTCAAATAGTATTGTAATTATAAAAAATTTAAATTATTGCAATAAATTTGCATAAATAATTGTAATAAAAATTAATTAGACGAAACTAACATTGATAATATTAATAACATCGTCATTTATATATCGTCTAATATTTTTAATTTTATCAGCTATGTAATTTTCGTTTTCATAGCGTTGCATTTGTTTACGAGCTTTAGCAATTATATTTACTAATTTATCCATATTTTCAACGGTTGAATTTTTCTGTACTTTTTGTTTTTCATCTACAAATTTATCTGTTAACAATTTTTATAATTTAAATAAATCTAAAAATATAATACAGTAATACTTTATGTTTTTAAAAGGTCATAGAATAAAAGAGTAAGTTTGATATAAATGTTGAAATTTTGAAAATATACAAAAAAAAAACGTGACCTTTTTTCTTTTTAAGAGTTTTAGATGATAACATTTTGCGCTGACACAGCCACACTCTACGCTAGCTTTTTTAAATAATAATATACGCATTAATTGTTACCTATAATATATTGTTGATGACAAATGCTTGGATTCAAATCAAACTTTTGACCTGAATTAAAAAGTGCTATGATCTATTTTATCTCTAATTCAGATCAGTCATGTAAAGTCATTGAATTATTTTTACCAAATATACATTAACTGTAATAATTACTGTATAATTACTTTAATTTCAACTGTATAAAAAAAATGTAAAAATCTTGACTTAAAAAGTTTGACATACAAAATTAAGTAAATTTTTAATCACTAACCATTTAGAAGTACTAAAAATATTGCATTGAAATATTCAAATATTTTAATTATTCAATAAAAATTAAATCTCAAAAAAATTGTTTCTTTTGCTTACTCAAAAAATTAATACAAAAAAAAATGTGTGAAATATTTGAAATTGTGTACTTTTATTTCTTCAGCAAATATAAATGCTAAAAAAATAAATTCAATTAAATAATTTAATTTTTTTTTCAGCTAAAAAATTACTAATAAATGCCTGTGTAATATTTGAATTATTTTCCTTCCAACAAAAGAATGAATGAATTTTTATTCATAAAAATTGTAATTTACACAACATTTTTAATTTTTTCAGACGTCAAAAATCAAATAACAAAACAAAAAACAAATTAAATTAAGTCATAATTTTTGTCATCATTTTTTTAAAATTCATTCCACAAAATAGATTTTGTTTTAATAAAAATACCAAAAAATTGCCAAAAAAAGTTTTGTTTAACTCGAAAAATCACTTCATTATACAGTAAGATAAAAGATTTATGTTTAAAGTTCTTGTAAATTTGAAATCATTTATATAAAAAATAAAAAACATCAAATAATTTAAAATTTTTTATCACAAATTTGTTCATTTTGTAGTATTATATTTGATTAGGTTAAATTTTTAAGTGTATATTATTTCTTTGAATACAAACTGTTCCTCTAAGGATATTATACTTTTTTGAACTTTGTTTATTTTTTTAAAACTTTATACTTTTTCAAACTTTTTAAATTCATTTGATAGAAAATGAATTGCATCGTGCATATTAAATGATGAGAGTTTGTCTAATTATATAAATTTTGCATATTTACCATTTTTCTCGCGAAATTAACAATTTTATAAGTATGCAAATTACTGATAAAGTATAAACATGCATATTTTATTGCATAGAATAATGATGAGAATGAGCATTTTGTGGTGTTTTAAATTTGCATACCGTGCTGTTTTAAAATACAACTTATGACATTTTTATTAACTTTAATTAAGTATTCAGTCTAAGTATGAGCTTTGTGCTCAACGTCATTGAATGCGTAATATCTCAAGCGTAATATCTCAGCGTAACTTGAAAGTCTTGTCTTAAATTATGCACTTCTTGTGATTTGTAACATCTAATTTAGCATAATAAGTTTGAAAACTTAATTTCATTCAAACTTAATACTGCTCGTTAGCTGGCATTTATATTTCTTGTAAGCTTTTCATCAAAAAATTAAGAATTGAAAAATTATAATGACAGAAAATACCAAGAAATTATTTTCAAAAATTTTTTGTTAAACTTTGGAATTGTAGAAAAAATTACTTTTTGTAAATTTTTTACGAAAAATTACAAAGAGTAATTCTTTCTAAAGAAAAATTCATATAAGCGGTAGACGGAGAAATAAATGTATTCATTGCTTCTGAAGGATTTTGCAATTATCTTTCAACTTTGAATACATTTCAAAGCTTTCTAAAAAGTTTACAAAATTCAGCAAATTCAAAAGTGATTTGTTTTTGTGTTTTTTATGTTTTTCAGCAATTTTGACGTACAAAATTTTTACTGCTTTGAGTTTTGCTGAAAAAAATAAAAATTATCAAAAAAGAAAGCTAGCTATGGAATTTTTATATAAGTGATGTACTTGTGAAGGCTTATCGAAATGAATTTTCTACAGAATTTTTTTGAATGTTTCAGCACAGAATCCATGCTTCAAAATAATTCAAAAAGTATTCCCTTCAATCACCATGACCCCAAGTATCAGTGTTGCTGTAATGCAATTCACGTAAAGGTAAATGGTTTACATTTTTGAACTATGAACTGATCTTATCATAATTATTTATTTTTTAAATAGTTTATAAAAATTATATATTTTCTCCACATATCAATTCTATGAAACTAATAAAAGCATTAATAATAACATCTAAACAATAAACAGCTGGAAAAGAAAGCATAACCAGTTTGAATGAACCGAAATCTTAAAATTGTAAATTAACAAAATATATAAAAAACAATTACAATAATATTGTATTAAAAATAAGCATACATAATTGTTATTACATTTTTATCGAAAAACATTTCAGATACGTAATTATTTCTGATTGTAATTTGCGTTACAGATGACTATACTTTTGAATTCATGTAGTTTACGTGCTAATGCCCCTACGCACTTTACGTTTTGTAGTATTCCAAATAGATCGTAACGGTTTTCACGATAGACTTCGCTGAATTTAGTGATAAGATGATAAAGATTACAGCAAGGAGCACGTGCTATTGCTATAAACGTACTACTTTTCATCACTGGCAATATTATATTTAAAGCGCTTGGCTTGTTGGATATAAGATCAAACTTGGAGCTTATTCTGCTCATTATCAATGCCGTAGTTGTGATATCATTGTTGTACGGTATTATCACTGAGAACGCAAGACTGTTACAACCATTTGTCATACTTAATGTGTGCTTCTTTTTGTTTAAATTTTATTAAATATCCATGAATGTTTTCCTATTTTTTAATTTAAAAATAACGATTTAAAAAAGTAATATGAACAAAATCTCAGACATTCTCTAAATCATTATATCATTTATCGAAAGTTAAGAGTAAGATCAGTTTGGTAATTGAATTATTAAATTTTAAAAAAAAGTCAAATTATTTTGAAAATTTAAAAAAAGGCGTTTGAATATTCAAAGTTTTGGTTTAATTTGAAATTTTAAATAATTCATCAATTAATTCAAAAATTTAAACAAAAGTTTAATTTTGATGACTAAAATTATTTAAATTTTTGTTGGAAAGTAAAGTTTTTGTATGAAATGAGTAATGCTCAATTTTTGAGCGGAAAAAAGTTGTGATCACAGCAAAATAACGCAAAATTTTATTTTTAATACTTAATTTCAGGTATTAACTGTAATACTTTTATTGTTATTGGCAATATTTTTCATTAGTGCGGCATATGATCCACGTTCATTTGCTGCGGAGTACGTCAAGTATGCCATAAAGTCTCAAATCAAGCAAATCACGCAAAATACTTCAATTTCTCAAGAAGAAGATGGTAAACAATGATTCAAAAATTAATTTCTATGTCACTAAATACATCATTCTTGTGACTATTAATTCTACTACTAAATATAAGTAATAATCATTACAGTAATTTTATATTTATATAATTATGCTATCGATTGATGATGTTAGCTAATAGCTAACGTGAAATATTCAACTGAAGGCTTTTGTGATCTCATTACTACTAAAAAATAATATCTACGTCAATCATATCATCAAAAATAGCCATTAAGCAGCGTTGTTCAGGTTGGATACAAATACTAAATATAACTGAAATTAATTATGCAAAAATTTGGAATAAATTCTTAATAACGAATTCTTCGCGTAGTTTTATTCCTTGCATTTCTGTTCTAATTTACGCATAAATTTCTTAAGTAAAAATATTTCAGAAAATTTTTACAAAATTCAAACGATTTTTATAGCATATTTGTTTCCATCAGATAAACTGGCAAAATGTATATGAAAAATAAAGTTACAGTTGCTATGACCTTGTCAGTATTTCTAACAGTAGCCGTGGCTTTGCTAGCGTTGATTCATTGCTGGTTTATATACATAATTATTCGATGTGCGAGATATTTTCGGGATTTACAACCCATAAAAGTATCATTATTATTTTTAGCAGTATAAAGCTAATAAAATATAAGAACTACTTTTTTAATTATTAATTTTATAATTTTTAAATTTTTTTTATTTAAATTTTTTTAATTACTTTAATTTTTATTTTTTATAATTATTAATTTTTATAATTTTTAATTTCATTTATAAGAAGTGTATGATTTCAGCAAAGTTTCATGGATGGTTATACTGCAGAATGGCTAAGAGATTCTTGCCTCTTTGTTGACAATCCGATACAAATGCAAACGTAATCCTTTGATATACCAGTTTATCTGATAATATCAGAGGATTTTTATCTGATAATATATCATATATATATATATATA